ACCCGACCGACTCGCGAGTGCATTACATCCTGATTAAACAGTTAGCATGAAATACGTTTCTCGTTGTTTATCGAAGCAATAGGAAGGCTGCAGATTCAAACATCTCTACCTTTCCACATTGAGAAACTTCACAGGCTCTTTCTCGGAAGAAGAAATAGACGTAATCATCGTCTTCCAGAGAGCTCACGAAATGTGGTTCTAAAATTCAAAGACGAAGGTTCAGCGAAACTTTGCCAGTCAACCTAATGTATAATATTGAAACAGGAAGTTACCGTTGAGCTGCTTGAGGTCATACTGCTCGGTTCGTAGAGGATAGTTGTTCTCGTCATTTTTGTCAGGCCTTCGGTAGATCACTGGATCGATTCCTCCAAAGTCAAGCACCGTTCCCACATAGAGCTTTTTATCTAAGAGGCAAAGACATCGTGGTCGGTTCGCAGAGGATAGTTGTTCTCGTCATTTTTGTCAGGCCTTCGGTAGATCACTGGATCGATTCCTCCAAAGTCAAGCACCGTTCCCACATAGAGCTTTTTATCTAAGAGGCAAAGACATCGTGGATTTTGACGACATACCGATTGCTCTAGGATACTGAGAGGACGCAAGGACTTCATGTATTACCTTGTGCGAAAAGTGCAGTAGTATTATGGTCAGGACGAAACGGGCATAATCCCCTCCCTTCCTCTGGATCGTCGATCCATTGCTAGAAGCGACGGAACAACGCAACGGGTAAATTACTTAGAATTAGAACAGGAATTAAAATATCGAAATCCCCCATTAGTCTTGGTGAATGGACATTTCGGTCTTGACGTATTTTACTACCACTTCATTGACATGTTTTCCACCTGACAATCTAAGTTAACACTTTGAGCCTTGCAGCCGTAATGTGATATAATACTCCACTGATGTGCGAAAGACGTCCTGCTTTGAAGTACTCACAACTGAAGAGCTTCTTCGCCTGACAACAGGACGGACTTTTTTTTCACGGAGTAAGCAGGCAGCTTCGCAGATCTGATTGCAGTTGGACGCATCCGTTCAATATTGAAAGATCGTGCCAAGGAGAGGCTGCTAACAGAGCAACACGTTGTTATGCCTGGTTTGGGCTATCATGTACTGTACATTCATGTCCATTCTATATTTCGTGATGTCATATGGGTCTTTCAACATATGCACCTACACGTTTCATGTTTATCTCATGAGCCAAGTCTATCCCCAGTGATAGAAAAAAAAGACACATTGAAGCCTTTGTGAGGGGTCACTTTTTCCTAGATCGGAGATTACTTAAAAAAAAAAAAAACAAGATTCTATCCTATTTATCATGCACTATATTAAAGGGATTAAATAATTGTGTTATACACCATGTTTTCGTGCCCATCTGTCTGCAATATCTCGATTTTATGGTCTAGTCTCTATCTTAAATGTGAACGCACGCGACGCCCCCTTTCCCCCTTTCCCCCTACCTTTATGTAAAACAAATTAACTACTCCTTTTTTTAATACTTATTTTGATATGTCTAGAGATTATACACAGAACGATTTCGACATTTTCCAGCTCACGCTACCGACCATCGTGTATTTATCATTCCTTCTATCTACCCCCGTGACATTTGACAGTAACGACCAAAAAGGGCAAAGGGGTGGCAATTCTAGCATGCCCCTGCTAACTGTCTCACTGCCAGGTTCGTTTTCATCTCATCCTCCTTTTCTATCGAGAGCGAGGAGAAAGGGGCCATAGAGGAAGACGTTCGCCATGAGAGTGTGTATATGAGGATATGCCATAAAAATGGTCACGAACATATACCTGTGTACATGTGTGGGAACAGAGAGAAAGGAAACAAAAGGGCAGAGAGGAAATCCATGCGAAAGTTCATCCGTCCACGCCCTTCCTCCTCATCCTGAAAGGCGTATGCTGTACAATATTGCACGAACGTCTCTTTGTGGGTTCCAACTCGAAATGAACCTGCATGTTGTTTTGAAGAAGTCCAATGCATTCCGTAGGCCAATGGATTGTTTAATTAGAGACATCATTGAGGCAAAGGCAGTCCTTTTTCACCATCCATTAAATAATTTGGCACGTATATCTCCTAGAGCGTGAACACCATTTTAAAAAGAACGATTTTTATTTCCCATACAAATGGAGCGGTTCTTTTAAAGCGATTTTCAAGCGACGGTTCCTTTCTTGCATATTTCGTTTGAAGGTCTCTGTGACAATGTGGTCCTTATGAAATATGATCGTAATACTCACCCATGGCTTGTCATTCTGGGGTCCTCCCATGTTTCTGCATTGCGGTTGAAAGGCATGAGTTCCACAGATTAACACCTCCGTCTTCAGGTCTCCTCTGCTCTTGATGGCCAGTATCCGAACGTAATTCTTGCACCAATCCTGAGTTTCAATGACGAAATAACGTAGTTGATCAAAGGGTGCCCGTTGACCGTAGAAAGGCTTCATTTGCCTTTGTCGTGCCTGAGATATATTCCGAGTCTTTACTTATTCCAAAAACAGTTGAATCAAGGGTTGGAAGAATGATCAGAAATGATGAATGTTCTGTCTCCGTTAGTTGATAAATCCACAAAAAGAAGTTGGAAGTTGATACTGAATGAAAGGAAAGGGAAGCGTACAGGGCAAATGCAATTGTTAAGGGGCCGAAGGTACGTTCATTTGGGCTCTGTGAAGTGGAGATAGACCACAATTACATCCCTCTTCTCGCTTCGTTAACAGACCTGCAACCTGACCTAAATTGCGAGTCAATGGATCGTTAACGCCCATGAGGAATTCAACTGCAATTAGGTCTACCTCGACCTAAATATCATATTCATCGGTTACCACTTCTAGGACGTCTATCGACGTGACCTGATCGTGACCAGATCGTGTAGGTAAAAAAAATAATTCCAGGAGGAAAAGCTTACCTCGCTCTGTCCCTTCATCCGACATTGCTGAATGGCATCTTCATTCGCTTTCCATTCCAAGTCAGTGTGATTCGTTTCAGTTGCATTCAGTGTGAGCACCACCACTTGATCTCTGGATAAAAAAATAGGAAATTTTAAATGCCCTCTATCAAGGATTCTCCCGATGCCTCTTTCGGAGAACGATACCATTTTCGAAAAAGAAACCTGACGCCCTCCAGGGCGTACTTTGAAACTCTTTGAAAGAAGGGAATTTGACTTTTTTTGCAATCGAGAATATCTTATAATGGATGGACTGCTTTGGATCCCAAAAATTGGGGCAATTTCGAGGGGTTGTCTCCCCGCATCCTAGTCTCCCTTACAGTATTAAACTCTTTCATGAAACTTTTCCCTTACTCATGCTTCGCTCCCGTCACGAACTCGGTTTCCTTACTGTTGAATTAAAAACATGAGACTTTGGAAAAGGTATAGGCATGGGGCTGGTTGGTGTTACGCATTATGATACACGAGTACGTGGATGAGGATTTTCTAAATGTATTTTCTCAAGAAACGGCTCCTGGGAGCGGGAGCTCAACGCTCGCACAAAACCACAGAGCAATGACCGCATTCGCATCAGAACTGAATTAAATACGGGTTAAAGAGAGAGCGGGAAGGAGTTCATTTGAATGCAGGAAGGGAAGAGGAGAAGCGGGGCTTCCATAACGGGCAGCAGACTCGATGACCACCAACCAATGGCTGTCGGCCCCCCTCAGGGTATTCCTGAGGCCTAAGAGGAGTACACAGCACACCACAGGTGCAGGTGTTTGTGCACCTTATTCCGCGTCTCCCCTTCGGGCCACATTCAATGGTCCTCAACGGGTTATTATATGATGATTCTTCTCTCTCCTTCTCCCGTTGCCCCCTACGTGCTAAAGTGGGACGAATTCTACCGCCGCTGGTGTAGCCGACTGCTGTTACTGCTGCTCTTCCTGCTTTTTCCCTCGGTCGTAAAGGAATAGGTCATGGAACTCCGGATAATGCCCCATTTTCATGCGATACTGTCTTGGTCAGATAGTTCCCAAGCAAGTGAACTTTCGTTCTCACCCATGTGTAAAGATGGCTAATTATGACTCCTTTGTTTAAATGAAAAGGATGAACGTTTGGGAAAATATTATTCCTATCCAGGAAGGGTAAACAAAAGGCTAACTTGGATTTAACGATGATGAAGAAAAGTAATTGAAGGCGTGAGCAGTGTAAATGAGCAATGACAGAGTACTCTCCCGCCCATGTTGTCTTACGAATGGATGGGTCCGGCTACATGTGAAGAGGGCGTCACTTCCGTTGAGACGTGATTTTTATCGGTTTGCTAACCGTTGCATCCGACGCAATTTCACCCCACCTACCAAAACATCTAAAAAGGCCCTTCCCCGAGTTGAGGCGTTGTCGGCGCCGCACAGTCGGGAAGATACCTCACCTAGGATTTCGATCCACGCACTTGGGGACCTTTCGGCAGTCAGTTGAACGATTGCATCTCCAGGGTTCAACCTCTCGTGCATCTCTGATATGGAGACTGCGAGAACGCTGGCCTTGTTTCTAGTAGAAAACCGCGAATTCGTCCTCTTTTTAGAACGGCCGAAACCTGCGCCGACATGCGTGCTACCGGCATATCGGATCCGTTCCGTACCGGACCTGGAACGCGGTGGTACCGCATGATGTGACGCAATCGCTCGGTTGGTTCCATTTCTACCGGACGTACGTTCGGTGAAGGAACGAATGCCATCGTCGATCGATTTTGCTTCAGGACGAACTCTGATTCGAAGGGGAGGCGTTCACTATGGTACCCCTGGGATTGAGATAGCACGTCACGTAATTCTCCTTCATGGATGTCCCTCGATCAGCTGCGACTCTCGGGCATCCCCACGAGAATATCCCGAGTCACAGTCAAGCAATCTAGCGCAACGATCGCACAGATTCATCGGGCCCTGTCGCTAAAATTACCTCACGGTTACGAGCAAAAGCGTTTGTCGAATCGGTTCGATTAGTGACGGACAGAAGCATTACGCAGCAAAATGTGACCCTATGATTAAGATTCGACCATTTGTGCATATCAAGTACGTGTCTGTACGTAGATTGCAATTGAGATGTCCTTGCGTCGCGTGCCTTCTAAAGAGTCGGCTCGATTTCAAACCAGACCTTGCTATTTAGAGTACTCACCGCGCGCGTGTCCTTACAAGTGAACTAATGGGATCATTTCTGCGGTAGTATGTCCGAGCGAGCATAAGGAATCGTATCCGATCCTTCCCGGAGACCAGAGAACTCACTCGGAAACGGTCGGGGAGGGTTCGGAGAGAATTGAACGACTGGACCAGGACGTTCATTGTTCTCATCCTGTTTTTTTTTTTTTTTACCGACTCAAGGATGGGAATATCGCTACAAAGAGCGCGATCATTGATCCAAGAGTTTCTCTCTGGTGGAGGGTTCACTTTGGAACCAGAATGAACGGTTTCTATGCATGCTGCCGCTACAAAACAATTGCGTTCTTACTTTCCCACGGCAGAGTTGATACAGCCCAATGAATCAGTCAAATTTGAGCTGTAGAGTCCAAGATAGTGGATTGCGCGATACGGGCATTTGCTGAGATCTATTAAATAACTACCCGATAGAAGTACTGACTTGATCATAATATAAGTACTTCAAACTTTATGGATTGTGCGAGCAAAATCCCAAATCCGGCATGAATACGAAAAGCGACGGAAGGGAAGAATACATATATGTACGGCAGCGGCGAAGGCATTGGCCTCCACACATGATAACAAACAATGAAGTGTGGGAAGCATGAGAACCAGGATGAAAGACAATGCATCATGAGGCTGTCATTGCCTGCCATGAATCTTTCATTCTCATGAACGGCTCCGACTCTGCCTTGGTACCGCTGAATCATGGAAGAAAAAAACTTACACGTCACCGACGATCAGGTAGTTCTTGTCGCCATCCAACAGACGAAAACGGTGCTCCTTGCCATCATCGAAGTTCCACTCGTGTGAATTGTATGCCTCTGGAAAAGAAAAGGATGGCATCAACGAAATGCATTTTGGGTTTGGGCTTGCTGCCACCACGAAACCAGCTGCGCCGTGTCATGCGCTGGCTGACAGGCTATGTTTACTGGAACCAGGTCACATGAAAGCGCGAGAATATTCATGATATATCAACGGGTACGGAGCTCAACAGGGAGCATGAACTTTTCTCTTAGCGGGGAGTCGGAAAAAAAGCGAGCGAACAAGGGCCTCGTATATGGAGCAATATGATTCTCGTAACGGGACTTTGTGATCGAACAGGACTCCGTTTCCGGTTTGAAATTTTCTCGAACCCGATAATTATTACGGTCTATAATGTGATTTGCCGTCGTAGGGGTCGCACGGACCTCCTCATTATGGGGCATGAGAAGGAAGATGTCGACCTTACTGTCTCTGTCACCTTCGTCGCGGGGGCCTTTTTTCAACGTCTCATCGGGATTCCAATTTATCGGCCACATGCGGATCTCGATCGTCAAGGTGATCTAGGTAATAATCCCTCGATTGATGACGATCGGAAAGATCCGACGCGTTGATGCGGAACGAAGCCGGTCTTCAGAAAAGAAACTCACGGATCCCAACTCGTGGTATGGGTGCAGTATTAACGGTTTATATTATATTACAAGGTCGTTTTTTCCCGTTCTCCTTTTTCCTTTCATGGTACCAGGCGCCATTTAAATCTGAATGAATCGCATTTTAACAACCGAATTTTGGTATTTCCCACGCTCGCGGTAAGGACGCGGCCAGACGACGTGGGCGGGGTGGGAATCGAACTCGAGACAAACAGATTGAAGGCCACCCACGATGAAGAAACAGGAGTTGCCAATGACGGACACCTGCAAAATCCCAGGAGTCGGTCGTGGCTTGTTGACCATTGTTTTGCGTCTGCCAGGCCCCCGGGGCATATCACACGCCCTTCCCCTATCGAGTCACAAAAACCTGTCCTTCCTTTTCGGACCTTCAAAATCTCCCTCCCACCCGATGAAATCGAGGGGGCGAGATTACACTCGGGTAATTAGCTGTCTTTTCATTTCTCCCCTCGAATGAAGTTCAAGGGCGAGGTCGAACATGATTAGGGCGTTTTTCACACTTCACTAGCTCCTGGTTTCTTCTTTATTCCTCTCGAACGACAATGAGGATAAGGAATGATTCTGTCCCAAATGTGACAAGAGGTCAGGACCCCGGCCTCCCATATTTATTCAGGGCCCCCCTTCGACAGCTAATAAGAAACAATTAAATCTAGATGCGTTTATCATCCAGGTCGTGGGAAGGGGGTGGACTTATCTCGATGCGGACGCCCCGAGGGAATGATGAGAGGATGAGAAACTAGAGCATGAAATTACCCTCTTCCCTCCACTTCCTTCTTTTTTTCTTTTTACGGCGACTCTCTTTCACCTCGAGCAAGGATATAAAGAGGACTTTCCTCGGGTCGTCGACGTCGAGATTGACTCGTCAGGGAACCGTGAACACCTTTGTCCCGTGCATGAACCCTCCTCAAAGGAGAGACACGACCGGCACGTGCAGTCGCTTTCTTAGTGAAAAGAAAAAGGCGGGAACTGTCTTCATCTGCGGTCTTCTCTGGGGAAAGGACAAAATCTTGTAACTGTTGGCAAATTACCCGTTAGACTGTTTCACTTTTACTGCCTCGGGAGAAGAAAAATGTAAAATTAAGTCCTTGATTTCGCATTGTGCGGGCTCCTCCCTAGATGATTTCCCTCCTAATGAGAGTGGCATCCCCTACGGCGAACTGTTTCTCGGCAATTATATATGTGGGTTAATGGGATAAAGGGTAAAGACGACCATTAGGAAAAGGATGCAATGCACGCGTGAGTCTGAGAATCGAAGCGATTCCCCCCGTGAGAGAGACAAATACATAACTGGGACATCGTATAGCGTCTGGCGAGACCGTATTTCACCACAGAGCCGGAAAATAACGCTAAAAAAGAGCAGGGAAAAGCGGCCATTAGATAAACCGCAGGTGGAGGCTATTTTCGGAGCGGAGAAAGATGTTCCTCGGTCGTAACGGTATTCCGGTGGCCAAAGGGGACGGGGCTCTTCCAGGACCGGTCTGATAATTCATCATCATCATCGTGACTCACGGGTTTCAAAATTCATGATTTTGGACTTCTTTTCGCAGGGTCCCACGGTTTCGAGAATGGAAGAGCGTCCAGACTCGAAAGTCGTTCACACCTGGGATAATCCCGATTTCCCAGGCCTTGGCACTATATCGCTATAAGCCCCGAGACGGAGAACGGGAGCACGATTTCTCTCTCGGCCTTTTGTCCCAGACGTGACTCTTTCTATGACACCTGGGCCCCGGACTGCCCACACATGGCAATGAAGAACCCTGAAACCATGCCTCCGGGGCAAGTCCTTCTCTAGCCTGCAGGTTTTGCTTCTTTTCTCTCTCGAATCGTGAGATCATCCGATACATGACGGCCGATTCTTCGAATCCCCCAGACCCTCGGGGGTCACACGAGTGCACCTTCGAAACGCCTCGGTGTTCCATGCGGGCATGGATGAGTGGACAGGAAATTCGTACCTGGCCACACCTGTA